CACAATTGGCTCGACCAACGAGTATCTGATTGGCTCAATTCCAGCAAGAACACAATTGGCTCGATAAGTAAGCATCTGATTGGTACAATTCCAGCAAGTACACAATTGGCTCGACCAACGAGTATCTGATTAGCTCAATCCAGGCGAGAACACAATTGGCTCGACTGATAGACATCTCATAGGCTCAGGGTTCCAACAAGCCTATAATTGGTCCAACTGGCAGATATCTGATTGGTCGAGTTCAAGTAGGTACATCATTGGCCGCACTGCTAGATATTATCACTGGTCAAAGTTCTAGCAGGTATAGGATAGGTCCAGATACAGGACATCTGGCTGGTCCCTTCCAGGAGGGGATACAATTCGTCCAAGTACGAGAACCAGATATCTTAGTGGTCAGAAGTACGCATAACATTAGGTAGGATATACTGGCAGCCTCACAAAATGTTCGCCGCAGCAAGTTCCTCAGCGGCGAATCATGAACCATCCTCAGCAATCAGCAATCAGCTACAGTACACAGTATTGCCGTGGGCACGATACGAGACTCTTGACTCTTCCGATGAGTTTCCGGCGTCGCATCCGCAAAAAGACCTTCAGCCTAGGTAGAAGCTGGGCAACGATCCATCCATACCATCCGCGGCCGCTCAGGCTCTACTCCTCCAACTCCAACTCCAACTCCATCGGCTCACTGCCATCACAAAGGACAGCGTACCGAGCCCAATACACCCCATCACTGTACGTCACGGAACAGACAGGACTATAGAAATGCACCGCAGAGTCCGAGTCGCAGGACGACGCTTGACTGCACAGAAGCAGTTCGCACCCAGGAACGAGGTACTCGAGCGCGACCGTCCCGAACGAACGGCCGTCCGGGTCCAGGATATCGATCGTGCGGTTCACCATGTTGGTGTCCACGTCGATGTAGAGCGTCACGTCTTTCTGGGCGCAGCGGGGCTGAGGTCGGCCGTGGATGAAGCCTAGTCTGGCGACTATGGTTGCGTTGGCGATCGCGCTGAAGGTGGCGGTGCACAGCGCCGCGAAGAGGGTCGTAGGTATCTTCATGGTGTGAAGTGTCTGGTAGAGATGGAAGGGAGTGGCTTCGCGATAGGACCCCTGACGGCGGCCTAGTGAGATAGAGATGAGCACCACTGGGAAGGAACCGCACGTACCAGGGTAGAAACTCGGGTTGACGTTTCAAATCCTGCTCGGAGAAATCCCAATGTGAAGAAACGCTTGTGAAGAGGTTGCGAGTCTTGGCCACAGCATACGAAGGGGAAGAAAGACCAACTTGACTTACGGTAGTGGAGGGCCTTGCCTATTATCTATAGATCCGGTCAAAGCTTAGTCGTGTCTTCACCGGGGGAGGGCTCTGTGCTGCGTTGATGATAAATTGACGATGGACGAAGAGATGCAAGGATCCGCGAAATTCGAATTTTCGACGGATATGACACGGGTGCTCGCCGAACAACGCATTTGTGGCGCATAGTGCAAGGTCAATTGACTTGGTGTAGCACGAGACACGGATGTGAGGAAGCGTCTCAGCATGGTTGACGGGTTCAAAGCATGAAGCCTCACATGTTGATAGATCCTTGGTGCCGCCTTCGTCGGCTCTTGTTCTGCATCAACGACGACTTGGCAGTTAGTGGCTCCTACAGAAGTCAGGTGTGATTATATCCGGCCGTAGCTGGGAGACGTCAATGTTTCAAGCGAGATCAAAGTCACTGCTGTAAACAACTAGTAAATTCCTTCTCTGCTAGCCAGTACTGCACATAGGAGCGAAGAATACCAGAGGAGACTCTGCATTGGATATCGATTGTGTGAAGCCCTCTTCTTCGATCCTGGAGTCGTTTAGCATGGATGGCGTCCGTTGACCGACTCAAACCCCTCACCTCATCTTCTACAGGGCGCCTGGTGAGCTCCCCTGACGATCATCGGTACATCGCAGGATGGCAATCTTTAGCGCCTGAAGCACAGTCGCGATGGATTTTCGCAGCAGTGTCCACTCCGCAACCTCTTATTTACACTTTTCACATTCTTCCGAAGTTGTTCATGCCCCTAAGGTGCAGAGAGCTCATAGCTCCGACCTCTTCCACTTGATCTTCTGTGCCTTTTCTATCACCTTGTACAGATCCGTCTTCTTGAGATCCTGGCCTGTATACTTCTGATAGTTCTCAGCGGCCAGATCAACTGCTTGCTCGTGCTTCCACACTAACACGCCAGCGGCAAGCACAAGGAGCAGCAGTAAGACGATCGTGGTGGTGGATGGTCCACGCCGGCGGTTTGGAAACGGCACTTTCTCGCCAGTGTATGCACCGTCGGGAGATTTGGGGAACCAATCCTCGGTCTGTGAGCGTTTTACATTGGGATCGATGCGTGTAGTGCGTGACATTCTGCACCTAAGGCTGCGGGAGGACTATCGGTAGGGTTGTCGGCTGGAGGTGAGTATGTCAGATATCTGCAAGGGTTTGTCGATCGAGGTTCAGCACAAGGACGATATAAGCACGGCGCCGTCTGCACAGGCAAAGAAAAGATTTCATGCAAATGTGATGCACCGTGTATGCACTTCAACAGGACAACATCCAGGAACGCAACGTCGCAACACCGGATAAGTACCAATGGGGACTTCGGGCTGACCATGGCACCTTGTCGTCGGGATCGATATAGTGCTGACTAAGAGTCTAATATTAACAGCAACCAAGCCTCTTAGCTGCGTGCGGCTGAAAGGACAAATACTGCTGATCCCGCCGATGTCGCTGGGGTAGCTGCTGTGCAAGGGGATGACTCGAAGCAGTTGAGAGAAGGTACTGATGGTACCGAGTCATGCTTCTGCTAGGCGCAGCTTTTACCTTTGCTTCAGGGCAATCCGTGCTGATGGGTCCAAAAGGAGCTGTGGTCGAGGATCGAAAGTCGTGCAGACAGGACAGCCTCAAGCAAGGTACCGCGGAGACAAGGGCTCGCCGGAGGGACGAGTCGAAGTCGGATCGATTATTGGATGCAGGAAGCGTCAATATCGGCAGCAGGAGAAAGAGTGATTTTTCCATGCCATCCGTGTTCAGTGGTTCTGTCCACAAGGCTGGATGATGACGTCAAGCCGGTTTCTCCGTCAGCCTCGTCGCGTCCGCTTTGATCCTTTTCATCGTTCGAACACCGCTGCAAGACTAATTCTACTGAGCTCTACTTACACGGAGGCTTGAAGATGCGTGTATCTCTCGGCGATGAACTTCAGACACCTCAGACAACGTGAATGCGGAAAAGTTCCCCGTACCGTCAATCCTCATGGTGATCTTCCACAAGAGTCTTCGGCGACCGATCCAAATGGCCGAGTACATGGCATGACCCCTAATATCAGGGAGTCCCATGCTAAACCACCCCAATTTTTACATTGACATCATGATGCTTGTGTGGCGACTGTAGCTTGACTGCGGCAGGTCCAGAAAGCTATTTGCGAATTCCGATATGGCCATTGGGCATCTCGGTCGATTCCAGGAACTCCTCAGGCTGTGCCCGTTCGTTTGGTGGGCCGAGACCTGGATTTGGAATGGAGGAGATATGACGATGCCTCATCACCGGTTATATAGCTCACTGACAGCTGCTCTGCCCAGGATCCGATATTCAATACTGTGCCGGTGGTGGTGAATATCAGCCAGCCAGGAAATCACAGGCAGACAACCATGGCCCAACTCATACATGACTCCTTTTTCGGCCCTCTGGTGCGGTACTTGTCGAATGGCAAGTTATTGCCACATGAAGAGACCAGAAACCCGGCTCTTTTGAGGCCATTCATCGCGGATCCGTACAACAACCCGTCAGAGAGGTCGTTACCTGAGGCGCCAGCATCTGATGCCAGTACTTCCAACCACAGCGATGGAGAGTTAGCCGAGAAAGGGAAGGATCCCCTTATTGTGGACTGGTATGGCCCGGATGATCCAGTGGTAAGGTTTCCGCCTGTACCTTTCCTGAGAGGGAAGCTAATCATTCGGAAGAATCCCCTCAACTGGTCCAACTTTACCAAATGCGCCATCACCTTTGAGTTGTGCTTTTTGACCTTGGCCGTCTACATTGGATCTTCAGTCTACACAGCTGGTGTTGTGAGTGTAAAGAAAGACTTCAACATTGCTCAGGTTCCTGCAACTCTCCCGTTGACAGTCTTCGTGCTGGGCTTTGGCCTGGGTAAGAGCGGATTCGTTGCCCCCTCGCAGTCTATGCGAGTTTTATGCTTCCTCCAACATAGGACCGATGACCTTGGCACCACTTAGCGAAGCGCCTGCGGTCGGGAGGATGCCGACATATGTCTGGTCCCTTCTTGCATATGTCTTGCTCCAGATCCCTGTCGCTCTATCGGTCAATCTCTCCATGCTTATGGTCTTCCGATTCGTCACGGGCGTTCTGGGTTCCCCGCCTCTCGCGACTGGCGGTGCGTCGATTGCGGAGATCTTCACACCACGCAAGCGAAGCCTAGCTATTGCCATCTGGGGCGTCGCAGCTGTGAGTATTGCCCTACACGCGATCGGACTCCTTCTGACATGACAGATCTTCGGTTCTGTGTTGGGGCCACTTCTCGGAGGCTTCGCAAACTGACCGGCAACGACAAATTCATGAGCGAGGGAGAGATACTGTAAAAGAACGTCACTGTCAAGAGGGTCGCCTACCTCACAATCATCCGCCCCTGGATCCTCACCTTCACTGAGCCGCTAGTCTTCCTCCTCCGCACATGGACTGCACTGATCTTTGGACTCTTGTTCATCTGGTTCACCTCATTTCCCTTCGTCTTTCAAGGTTTATATCGGTTTAATGCTGGCGAGACTGGCTTGAGCTTCCGTGACCTTCTAGTCGGAGCACTCTTGTGCGTCCCACCCTTCGTCTTGTATGACCGTGGCGTACAACGCAAGATGTTCGATGTAGGCGGCCAGATCTCGAAGCCAGAGCAGCGTCTCGTGCCGGCTATGGCCACAGCGGCGTATCACAACTTGGGCATCCCTTGGGCGAGCTCGCTACTAGGGTTTCTCGGCTTGGCTTATGTGCCTATTCCATTCTTATTCTACTTTGTGAGTATTCCTCGGTGGTGTGGCGCAGTGACTGACACGAGTGGCCAGTACGGCGAGAGGTTCCGAAATGAGAGCAAAAGAGCAAGACATACATAGGGGCCGTTGCACGGCGTCATTCAGGGCTGAAATCATGATCAAGAGGGAGGAAGAGGAAGGAGATACGTGCTCAAGAGCGGGGTGATAGACACTTTGCCACAGATCCGGGAGCAGGCCTGAGAACAACGCATTATATATAAAACCGTGACAGAAAATCCATCTGATATTATGGGCCAGACACAGGAATGATCTCGTCCACATACGTGGTTAGAAAAGTTGCAGGTAGGGTTCGGGTGCGTCCCCCTTGGCACACCGCTCGACTCGACAAGGCTGACTTCCCCGTGTTCCCAAAGGGGACTAGTCAGTCACTGTGATACACGCCCTCCTTCATCTCCTTGCTGTTCACTCGTGCATAGTAGTGCTGATCACTCGTGCATAGGAGTACTGTGCAGTTCTCAATCTCAAGCCAGGCAGGCCCCTACCAGCCGGCATCAGGCATGCTCAATCGCCAAGCCTAGCTTGGGGAGAGGACGAACCCAGCACCCCGTTCGGATCGATACTTCTCGCCAGATGCGGGGGTTCCTCCTCGATCGGGTCCGCATCCCAAACTCTTTCTCACACTTCCCCTCTCCATTGCCGCCAGATGTACCAATGATGCCCTCTATGGCCACACAGGCTAAGCCCACCATGTTCGACGGCTTCGTGTCTCTCGTGATTCCCCTCGGGCTCGATTCCTCGCTTGTCCGTCCGGCGAAGCGGAGTCCCGGGCTTTGACCGAGGGGCATATTCGCTACTATGTTTGGAGTGGTGCAATCTGGTGGTCCAGCCCCGCTCGATGCACGCGTATAAGAGGACGTGTGTCGGTTATGGTTTCAACGCCGAAGTAGACATTGGGTGACCTTTTCGGTAAGGGAACATTTGAAGACATCCTCATATCTCCATCTCAGCTTCTTCATATCGGATCAACATGGCCAAAGTCGCCGCGTCGGCCGTGCCGAACCTGAAATCCCAAATCGATGCCCTGACATCGGACCCCACGGGCGCGCCGGGCGTCGTCTTCGCCGCGGTCAACAAGGCCGGGGACATCATCTTCGAACATGCCTCTGGGAAGGTGGGCGCAGGCAAGGCCGAGGACATGACCACGGACCACATCTTCTGGATCGCCAGCTGCACCAAGATGATCACGGGCATTGCGGCGATGCAATTGGTCGAGCAGGGGAAGTTGAGCCTCGACGACGTCGACGTGGTGGAGAAGTTGGCGCCGGTACGTGTAGCGACGAGATTTTGGTGAAGGCGGAGTGGCCCCCTCTCTGCTAACACAGACGGACGTGACGACAGGAATTGAAAGCCGTGCAAGTCTGGGATCCGGCGGCGCAGAAGCTGGTCCCCAAGAAGAAGGGCATCACGTTGCGAATGCTCCTTTCACATACGGGTGAGTTGTTGCCGTGGCTGTGACTGTGCCAAGACCATTTCACGGTCTCTCGGTACATAGCTGCGTAAGGGTGTTCTGACATGCCACCACAGCCGGCTTCGGGTACGGTTTCTTCGATGACCGCCTCAACGACTGGGCCGGCCCGCTTGGCCTCGACGAGTTCTCCGGCTCCTACCACGACTATCTCTCCCAGCCACTTGTCAATCAACCAGGTGAGGTGAGTCACCCCATACAGCCCTCATATTTGTGGTTCCCGCGGTGCCCAAGTCTAACCCGATCCCCCCATTGTAATGTACTGGCCTGTCGCTACCTACATAACTCCATCTCCCTGACTCCCTGACTAACGATAAGAACCAAGGTATGGGAATACGGCATCAACATCGACTGGGCCGGCATCCTGATCGAGCGCGCCTCCGGGCTCAAACTCAACGACTACTTCCAGCAACACATCTTCGCTCCCCTCCACATCACGCACATCAACATGTTCCCCACGGACGAGATGAAGAAGAAGCTAGCCTACATGAACGCGCGCTCCCCCGTGGACGGCTCCCTCTCGCTCAACCACAACGGCCACCTGAACCGCCGGCCCCTGTACGCCAGCACGAAGGAGGAGATTGAGGGGACGTTCCACGCCGGCGGGGCGGGATGTTTCGCCCGCCCGAACCAGTACTGTCAGGTCATCGCCGCACTGTTGAACGACGGCGTGCATGCGCCGAGTGGGAATCGGATCTTGAAGAAAGAGACCGTGGATGAGATGTTTACTAATCAGGTGAGTGAGCCGCCAGGATAGAAGGCGAAGAGGTGTTGTGTTGCACCTGTTCTACGCTGACGGTCGACAGATCCCCGAGATGCCCAACTTCGGTCGTCAAGCGATTGTTCCCCCCAAACCAGAGTACAGCAACGCCCTTGCCGAACTGTACCCGGAACCGCATGACATTCCGCAAGGCTGGGGGTTGACTTTCTTCCTGCACCTGCGCGATTCGGCCGTGCACAGCGAAGGCACGGGCTGGTGGGCGGGATTGCCGAACCTGTTCTGGTGGGCCGATCGGAAGAGGGTACGTTGTCATTGCGCTGTTCCTGCCCGTTACTCGACGCGCGGGTGGAGGATCAAGTTAGAGCTCCATGCATGATAAAAGGCTCCAACGGGTGTGAGATGACCGAATTTGGCTAATTTGTCCCTGTGTAGGGCCTCGGTGGCATCATTGCCAGTCAGATTATTCCTTTCGGTGAGTCGCCCCTTGCTTCTGACTAGCTGCTGCTGCTGCGAGCATTGGAGAGCACGGCCACTCACACCACTGGATACAGGTGACCCGAAGATCCTCGGCCTCTGGGCACAAATTGAAGCCGGGTTAATCCAGAATCTTCAGTAGATGGGTTTAGTTTCCATGCAGAGACAGAGAGGTCTTGCCATATCTAGTGCCCCGGGGAGACAAGAAACGACAATTCTTAAAGGCCGGTTTCAGAGGGCGAGTGAATTCTAAGGTCTCTATATCTCCGTCAGATCTTGCCGACGCTCACGTAATCATCGTGGTTCATGGTAACGGCTCTGTACGTGGTATGGTGAATTCGTCCTGCACAAACCAGTGTGTTATTGCGACACCTTCTTTAGGACCGAAACAACCAGTATGCTTTGCTAAAGTGACATGTACACCTCGCCATACTCGCTCGCTCGTCAAGCAACGACAAATGTCAACCAGAAGACCCGCAATGTCAAAGGGCCATCAACTCAGGAGCGTCAATATCTCCAAACCCCGAAAGGATGCTGTGGACTCGCGGAATGCGAACCTTGCTGTGTAATGACTCAAACAGCGGCAAAAAGGGTTCCGCTGGCCGTCACATCACAACGCACTCCCGATCTGGCTTTTCGCCGCGATTTTTACTCTTTGATGCACGACCCCGGCTTTTCTCCCTTTTGTGCGTCTTGGATGCCTGGTGCTGCACCTGCAGGGCATTTGGCTTTGGACTGGTCTGGGGGCTATTCTGCAGGACACTCTGCTGTACTGGTTGAGGGGCCGGTGCGGCTTCCGTTGGGACCTTCTTGATGTGTACCTCATCCTGGGGAGGAATATCCGCTGGGGCTGGCAAACCCTCTCGGCTCTTTCTTTTCAGCTTCGACAGGGTTCGTCCCAAACCGCTGCCACTCTCACTTGCTTTAATCTGCGAGCGGGACTCGGTATTTGGCCTCGGCGTGCCAGTTTGGGCGCCATCACCGTTGTTCGGAACTGCCAAAGTTGCGCCAGTAGTCCCATTCGTGTACAGGGGAGGCGGCTCCTGAAAAGAGACGACACTAGTTCTCCTCGTTTCTGTAGGAGACCGTCCTCTGGGTTCTTCTCGAACTGTGACCTCAAAGCTTGGGCGCCCAGAAATGCTTCGGTTATCTGTGATAACTGAGATATCGGACACTTCGCTGACCGAAGCGTTGCGCTCGTGGACAGTGGTTAGCGTGCCCTCGCCCGATGTTATTCTTCCCGGATCTCCCTCAATAGGGACGATCTGGTAGAAAAGCAGGTAAGGTGTCTCCTCTTTCAATGCTGTCTCGATGTCGATGACGGTGATCCGGTGTGGCGCAAGGTCGTCGAATCTCATCCAAACCTTAGTTGTATGAGAATACTCACGATTAGGAGAGCCTGGCGTGGCAGTACCACGCACGAGAGCGACGTAATGTCCAGAATCCACCGACTCGCCTCGATGACAAACAACTGCCTGTAATGAGAGTTTGAAGTTGCTATTCAGGCCGGTGGTCTCTGCAATCTTATCATCCTGAATAAAATGAGGGACGGCAATCTCAACAGGAATGTCGATCCGTGTGCCTAGTCGAATCGCTCTGCCTTCGGGCGTATACGAGTATCGCTTCAGGCACAGGCCGAGGATCGGCCGTTTCGTCGAGAAATGAGCCGCTACTTGGGCGTCATTTGTCGGAGCATTGTCGGTATACCAGGCTACGCTGGGTCAGACAAAGCCGCATTAACGGAAAGGGCAACGTACGTATCAAGCTGAAGAATTGCCACGCAGGCATCATAACCTCTTTCCGCACACTTCCGGCCCGTGACCGAGCCACCGAGTCGTTCGAATCGATAAGAGCCATCGATGAATATCCACTTTCACGGCGTAAAGGTATGTAGCGCTCTTGGATAATACTAGGTGCACGAGTCCGGCCGAGGGCGGGTCGTATAGGGGATGCATAGCTGGGAGAGGCTGAGAGCGGGGTGATGGGTGACTGGTCGCCATCTAGCTCAACCGTCTCGACATGAATTGCACTGGCTTTGCGCATTGAGTTTATCGTTGATCGTCGCTCGAGGTACCGTCGAACCTCTATTCGGTTGTTGAAATAGTCTTCCAGGCACTCTTCTAACGTTATTTCCTTTCTTTCGCCCGTTGGATCCGACGGGATGGCCACTTCCAGAAGTCTCTCGTTAATGAACTTGTGATCGTCCGCTGTGTCTTCTTTGCCGGTGTGGTAGATATCCATCTTCAAGGTCAACAATGGCAGTTCGAGCTTGCCGGTAATAAATGTGAAGGCTTCTGAAGCGTCTTGCTGGTGAAGTTCCTTGGCTTCAGCCCAACCACATTCCGCCAGAGTGTCTTGCACAACCTTGGTGATGTCAGTGGTGATTAGCTTCCCCGATCGCAGGAGGTTGACCCAAAGGCGCAGGAGAAAGGCAAGCTTGTTTCGTGGTAAGTCGTCAAAGGTGTTGTAGAGCATGGCTTCGAAGCTGTCGAGGCGGGAAAACATGGAAAAGAGAGTGGCATCCAGGAAGCAGGTAACGCCTTGTCTGTTTTGAGCACCGAGCATCTTCGTATACGGATCGTATGGCCTGACAATTCCTTCCGAGGCGTCTGACATGGCAAGCAGGAGTTCATAGGCGGAATCAACGTCCCCATCCGTGGACAAAGAGCGCAGCGTCCACAAGATTTGAACATCCCTAACAAGGACTCCTTTCCCCTTTAACACACGGTCTCGTATGGTTCGGATCTGAAGTACCAGTCAGCAGGTTACGGCTGCGAGGACAACAAGGTATATCGACCTTTGGTTCCTCGACCGAGGTAGCGGGTGGAGCATTGGCGTCGAACAGGCCATAGAAGTCTTGGGCTGAGTTAGGGTTCACTGGTCGAGGGACAAGTTCGGGATTGGACTGTAAGGGCGCATAAGTCAGACATGATAGCAACCAAGGGAAGAAGCCACGGATACACGAGAAGTAGCCCGGTCTCCGGTGGAGGTACATATTGATAGGCACAAAAGTTGAATACTCGGCATGGCTTAGACGGCACAGTCTGGAGACTTGCTTGCGCGGGCATCGCGACTTCAAGGAAGAGGACTCACAGTTGAGAACTCCTTCCTGCTCAAAGGGTGTGGCAGGTGTTGATGCTCCCCGCGTCCTCTGTTGCGCTTGCCCTCGCGCTTGGAGAGGAACCTGCGCACGCCGCTCTCCATAGTGGCTCTGGGCGACCGTCCTCACTGACACTTCCTTGGATTGGAAAAGTTGAAAACACGATCAGGCGCTGGGTCTCCTCTGTTCATATCGTGGTCGTCGCCGCGTCACTTGCAGGCCGAACCGAGAGGTGGGGGTTCCCGACGAGGCGATGGCCAACTCTCTTCTCTCTACTGGGTGTCGCTTAATCCCGGAGCCTGTTAAAGACAGCGGCGACCGTTGGGCTGGAATGGGAAATGTCACCGGACTCGAGTTATATCACAAGTGCATCTGCCTAACCGAGGGGATTTACGATTGACGGGGATCTCAGCTCAGCAGTCTCGACCTCGTGGCATTTCGCCCCGCAGTGCGCGCCAACAAACAGCCCCGAGCTTCGGAGGCGACAACGCGCCAAGGCGTGACATCAACGTGGTCTGGCTGCGGCGCCAGTTGGCGAGCCTCACAGCCTCGACAACACACCGTGCTCTCTACCAGGTTGTGGAGGAGTACAAAGTCATTCGGAAGTGAGCGTTTGGAGTGTTGTTGCTGGAAAGGGAATGTTCGCTCGGAGCGTGGGAGTTGGGGGGCGAGTTCTCCGAAGCAGCACCCAAACGGCAAGAATCTGCTTTCCCAGACCAGCAGCCAGAAGGATTGTGACAAGGCGATTCTCGTCGTCTTCCTCGTCGGCATCCGCCAACAATGGCGCAGCTCCTACGGCGCATCCTCTTGCGGGAGTCGCTTCGCAACTCGACCATGTTGCACCTCGATTCGAGATTGATCCGGACAACATTCACATCCTAGACGGTCCCGCGGCATTCTACGAAACGCTGAAGGTACTTCAACCAGATCTATACATGCGATGCGAGGAGCCTGGCTAAGAAGTGCTGCAGGCCAAGATAAGGGGAGCCAAGCGACGGATATACCTGTCAACGCTGTATATTGGGAAGACTGAACACGAACTTTTTGACACCCTGAGGGAGGCACTCGAAGCCAATCCAGACCTTGAGCTTTCTATTCTGACGGACGCGCTTCGGGGCACTCGAGAAGACCCTGATCCGTCATGTGGGACTCTTCTAGCACCACTGATCACACAGTTTGGCGGCAGGGTGAAGATCTCAATGTTCCACACGCCAAACTTGAACGGGTGGAAGAAGAAATACATGCCCAAGCGCATCAATGAGGGATGGGGACTACAGCACATGAAGCTTTATGGCTTTGACGACGAGATAATGTTATCCGGGTACGAGCGACCCCTGTCTTGCTCTACATGAATGCTGACTCGAGCAGTGCCAACTTATCCGACGACTACTTCACGAACCGTCTCGACCGCTACCACCTTTTCGCCTCCAAAGAGCTCACCGACTTTTACGCTGCCATCCACGACGCAGTTTGCGATTTATCCTACCATCTCGTTCCAGCCGATGACCGTCCAGGCGGCTTCGAACTCCTGAGTCCTCATGAGAGAGGCTACCCCGACCCGTTATGGCATACCAAACGGTTCAAATCCTACGCCAAAGAAACCCTCGAGCCACTCATCCACAAAAAAGCCCGACAAAAGATGTTTCCCGTTGAGTTCACCGACCAGAAAACGTTCATCTATCCACTAGCTCAATTTGATATTCTCCTCGGCCAACCCAGAAACATCGCGTTGCTCGAGTACGAATTCGCACAGTATACCTCCACCGAGAAGCCCGCCATCACCAAGCTGTTGACCAACCTCGCCGAGGACGAACGCCTGCACAAGTCGACCTGGGCATTCACAGCAGGCTACTTCAACATCGACCCCGACATCTGCAACATGCTCATCGCCGCCGCGCCAGAAGCCCGCGACGTCCTCACCCCCGGCAAAGAAGCATATTACGATAAATCTTGCACGGTCATCACCGCATCCCCCTGGGCGAACGGTTTCTACGGCAGTCGCGGTGTAAGCGGTATGTTACCAGCTGCATACACATTGCTCTCCCGCCGCTTCCTGCGGACCGTTAGCTCTGCAGGCAAAGAAGATGTTATCCAACTGAAGGAATGGCGCAGAGGCACAGTCGGCGAGCCTGGCGGTATGACTTACCACGCCAAGGGCCTGTGGGTGACCTTGCCTCCACAGCCGAATGCGGACGGACAACTCGTCGAGGACTGCGGGCCGAGCGTCACTGTGGTTGGAAGTAGCAACTACACGAAACGAAGCTATAGTCTCGACTTGGAGATCGGAGCAATGATCTTGACTGGCGATGAAGGCCTCAAGAAGCGATTGAAGAGGGAGGTGGAGAATCTAGAGGCGGATGCCACGGTCGCAACGCAAGATACTCTGGCCAGAGTCGACCGCAGAGTTGGTTTGAAGGTAAGACTAGCGCTTTGGCTTGTTGAAGCACTAGGAGGAGCTCTGTGAGATACGGTACACTGCGCGCGAGTTTTCACGTCCCTCCGTGCCTGTCAACCCAGCCAGCTGGAAACGAGTCGCGATGAACTTGTCCAAAGCACCAGCATATGAGCGGCCGGTCCTGTCTGAGCACAGTTGTAAAATCGTCAGTGCACGACTGAGCTGCTGTGCCTTCTGACCTCTATAACGATGAGGTCGAGTGCACTGGGTGTTTCTTGGGTCAAGAGCTCGACACGCGAAAGATGCTTTTGAGAAAGTGTTCTTCGGCGTTGCAGACGCCCCGTTTCTCATAGATCGATGTATACATACTGTAAAACAGCACAATGGTAGAATCTTGGGACACCTCTGCTTTACAGGCAGGTTGGAGCACTAATTCTAGTTCACTCGGGCAAGCAAGATTCGAGGCATAGAAGAGGGAGGAAAGGGTCAGAGTCCTCGTCCCTCACAGCAAAGGGAACGATTGCTCGTCTCTCCAAACGACGCACTCACCGACATTCTGGTGCAATTTCCGTGAAAAACGTCCTCCTCGCGCATATGTGGCAGATTAGGCATCTGCAATTCGACTTTGACATGCAATTCGCCCAACGGGGCAACATGTCAACAGACGGTCGCGTCGCGACATGTGAAATTCGAAAAAAAATTATTGTTGGACTTGTTGAATTTTTTTCCGGGCTTCCACTGTGCGCTTCCAAGATTTCGCGGCGGTGAAGGCCCAATGTGTGGGTTTGTGTTAAGGGTGTCCCCTCCCAGCCACCTTGATATTGAGGACCGTTCATGCATGCGTGCCGGAGCTGGCGAACACGACAGAAAAACTTTGAAATTTCACCGACGGGGATGTCACAGTGCACAGTACACAGTAGCGGTGTATATGCCGCCATGCTGGGAGGGGGAAAGGTGCCGAAGGATGGAGGATGGGAAGGGCCGCCGAGTGGAGTGCGCGCGGGTCGAGCCTGAACAGCGGCGACTAACAGATCCTCCGCGGGTCTGCGAGCTTGGATCTAAGGGTTGTGGCGATCTCTAAAACCTACTCGTACTGTGTATTGCTGAGATACACTCACAGTAGCTCAGTGGCGAACGTCCAGTTTTGATGGTCTTCTGCAAGCCCAGAGGACGGGCCGGCAACAATGCCGCTGAGAGGACGATGATACTCCGTACCCTTGAATGACTTGATGGAGCTTGGTGGAAAGACTGCGTCGCAGACACGCCCCGAGACACAGTACACTGTACTGTGTAGGTGCAGGTGGAGCGATTCTTGGAATGCCACACCTCGGACAGATCCTCTTGCATTCGTGGATGCAGGACAGATGTTGTCGTCGCCAGGTCCAATGCTGGAACGATGTGGCTGCTAGAGAATGTTCCAGCATTGAAGATCCAAGCTCGTTGTCCTCTGTGGGACAGGCGCCAAGACGGCCAGTTAAGGACAACAACTGTCCTCGAATGGCGCCCGCGGCAGGCCGAGAGAGGACTTGCCCGTTATGCTGTTACCTTGAAGTTCCACCGAGCAGCGTTGTCGGCAGAGACAGCTGCCACAGCTGTTCGAGCAGACGCTGTTTCGTGTTCTCCTTGTCCGACTATGAGAGCCAAAAGCTCGAGCTGCGATCGAGGCTTGGTGGGGAAGTCAGAAGCCACATTTGTTGGGGGGGGAGGGGCTTCGGACTCCAGAACTCGAGCGTGCTTCGGCCCGTTGCAAGCCAAAGCAAGGGCGCCAGAGACTCAAATGTTGTGGTGGTTGGCTAAACCCAGACGATCAATGCCGCTGTCCATCATCTCGACCGCCTGAATGTACCACTTGGTGCGCGCCTATTGCGACTCCTACGCAGCGGCAAAGAAAAGAAGCCCGTTGCGCCAGCGGAGACCTTGCCCGGTCGATGAATGGACAATCGTGGCCCTTCACAAGTGGGTGGCAACTCAACCGCTCCGCTGGAGCGGTGCCAATAGTGTATACTACGTGCAGTATGCGGGTTTTCCGAGGCTGCGACTCGCGAGATGCGATGCGAAGCGGCCTTCGAGCCGTGGTCAGGAGTCGCCCAACTCCAGAACGGGAAGCGGAGGAACGGAGAAAGGCTTCCTCACGGCACGTAACGCTTATGCAGCTCTGCATATCCAAGCGTCCGCTGCTGCATTAGAGCGTCTCGACCAAGGCATTCTAAGGGCTCCAGACAGTCATGGAAAGAGACCATACAAGCAATGCGAAATTGCATTGGCTTTCACCGACATTTGGGCTCGATGTCTAACATCGAATAGCAGTCTGGTGTCGTCTTTTTGTTCACCGCACCGTCACGCTGGAAAATTTTCTGCTTGTGTACTTTGCAGCACTGCCAATTGACAGTCACAACAGATCGACATTCGGTCGAGCATTTCTCCCAAATTTATTAGCAAGATTGCTACGGAGTACGGAGTACGGAGTACCATATCGACATGAGAAATTCGACTGAAACACGACCTTGTCTTGGTAGGATTGCTCCGAAACAGCCAACGTCAGTGTTTCGATGATCGAGATTATCCCAGATGAGCACTCACAGTGCCGTCGGCCAATCAATCGCCTATCGCTCACGTGGTCTTGCTGTTCCTCGTGAGTTGCACCATTGGTGCCATTGGCTGCGTTCGTTCGGTTGCACGAGTTATGCCGATCCGATAAACAAGTCACCTTGGTTGACGGGTTCCTAATAGCTCTGTGCCAAGATTAGTATCTATGGTCAGAAGCATTCCTGTAGCGTAAGTCGAAACACTTAGAAGTTAGTCGAAAAATACCTCGTACTAGACAGAAGACTTGGTGTGTGAGAAAGCTCCGTGATCCCTTTGACTTGAATCCATTGGGGTCCCAGGAACGATACGAGTACACAGTAGACACGAAGTCACATGACCGTCAGCTTATGGGTCCACTACGTAGGACACTACGAGTACCAGTATTCCGTACCCACGACCTCATGACTTATGCTTCTGCCTTCACGGAACAAGAGAGGACTGGAAAATAGTCATGAACAGAGGCGCATGCACAAGCAACGACCGTCTCCTTCCTATGAACTTACTACACGGCATGTTACAACTACCGTTGCGGATGAACTACTTGGCGGTCATGGAGTTCAAGATTCTGCGGGGTAAAGCTGCTACACAGTCGTGACAGTACGAGTTATGCAGGAGTACAATTTACCAGGCTCAGGGGACTTTCTCACTAGGTCATGCCAGGTACTCGTACCTCGTACGTTGACTCGGCCAGGCAACTGATATCCGGAGCATCAGCCAGGTGCCATCACGATCGAACGAGAGGTTTCGGTTCTCAAGTCCGAGTGTAGGCCAATAACAGATCTTCTCGCTCTAGTCGTAAGCTACGATAGTGCAGTGCTCGTGAAGAACTGAGGACTACTAGTATCTTTGTGGAAACCTTGGGTGTTGCACGCGGCGGATATGGCCTATCACGAAAGGATTGAGCACGAGACCTCTGTGCAGTGTGGTAAGCCGGATATGGCATCCTTTACACAGTACGTGCACAATATCCTGCGGAACAGTGTCATGGTTGCTCGCACACTGTACTTGTGCACAGTATCAGCACGCAGAGATGCGACCCGTGACAGAGGCGAGGAGGCTTCGGGAACCCGTGCCCTGATGCTCCCGAGCTTCGTAATTGTTCTTTGTCGTTGTTGCAAAGTGTCCTTCTTGGTTTCTGCCTTGGTCATCGTGGTGCTGAGGTTGCGTGTCTCAGCGAGCGGCAGCGTCATTTCGCCAGGTCCATGATGGCTGTGGCGTGACTATTGGCCGAGGGCTCAAAGCGTGTCGCCGAAAGCGGGTAGGGGTGGATGCCCAGGAAGGCAGCGCCTGAGCAGGAACCACGTAACCTGTCAAAGAGCTGGAACTGGCCAAACATGGCTCCGGCGACTGATCTCCAGGGCTGAGCAAGAAGTGTGAGACAAAAAAAGAGGGATGGCGCCATGCACGCCCGATCAGCGTAAAGCTGAGCACGAGGACAGGCAGAGAAGAGACAAGAAGGTCAGCGCAGTGTGGATCACGCGCTGCCAGGAAATTGCGAGGGCTTGCCTGTGCAGAAGACACCAGTCCTGAAAGAGCTTAGCAGCTGCAGTAGTCTTCCAACCAGCGCCCTCGATATCAGGCGCAGGGACGATGCAAGCTTCCCCATCAGGCACACGCTGATTTGACGATAGCTGGCCCGACCGATTCCATTGTGTTCTCTGGCTCGGCATCATTTGTTGAGCGTTTTGCCGTTGCCTCTGCCCACCTCTACGCAGTAGGCTTAGGCTGCTCGAGGAACCACTCGCGCACTCTGCCGGCCGGCCCCAGAATTCTCAGGAACTGGTGACCGTGAGAGCGCTGTCACCGCCAACTTGGCCTGCAAGCTTCATAACCCTCACTCATCCATCCTCTCTTTGTTGTTGTACGTCCCTTACTCGATCCTCAACTCGGCCACCCTGCAATGTGAAGTCCAAAGCCACACGAGTGTTCGTTTCTCTTTCCTATAACCCTACGACCCTACCTACACATTACACCTGGCCGTGTCCCTCCTTCTCTCTTGCGTCTCGACGACGTTCCTTCCCGGCATTCCTCGCTGTCACCCAGCAGACCGACCACCCGCCCCCACTGGTTACCAGCTCCCCCCACCAACCGCAATCGACTCGTACACGACCATACTGTACCTATAATCCTAGTATACCATCGACCTGAGCTCACTCTGCCTGGCATCTGAAGGCTTTCTGAGAGCGATCCCGACGAGTCTGTTCGGATCAGTCGCCCTGGGACGGATCCCGTGACTCACTGTTGTGGTGTCATTGGGTCACGGTCGAGTCACGTTCTGCCCACCACAACAAATACGCCAGGACAAAGGAGGCACTCATCCTTTGAGCCAAGAAGATCGTACCATACAAGTCGAGTCTTCTCTGTTCCTTTCGGTCGGCCAGCTTCTTCCGTGGCAGTCTGTCGACAGGCATCAGGAGCTCGACAGCAGTGTGACACATCACTTCTCTTGCCACACCTCTATAACCTCACCTCCTTCGAGCCGACCCAGATCTCTCCTTCATCATCCCACCATTCATTCTTTGGCTCTCTTGCCGGAACCAGCCCCGACACCTCATTCGATCATGACACAATAACTTACGCTCTCTACGCCATTGCTTTTCGACTGTACAACGAGCCCAGGCTCTGCGTCAGCGATTATCGCTTTCCTTTGTTTTTATAACGATACGACCTATATCACCTCTATGAGCCTCTGACGCTGCACGACGACTAGGAGTTCCGTGGTTTCCTCTCGACCGGGCGTTTTCTACACATGATAAGCGGGGTGGTTGGAGAGTTCAAGTTGCAAGGCGGTTTTATGCTTGGTGTCCTGTTGGTTGCAGTTCCTATACTCGACGTTGTCTTTTCCGACTGAGCTCTCTCGGCTCGTACAAGCTCGACGCATCCCGTTTCCATTCCTGTCTATACTCTTGCACAAACTTCTCCTGGATCATACTGTCTGCTCAGTCACAAAAGTCAAAAGTTATCGTCTGCCATCCGCAAAAGGATAGACCGCTGCAAAGAGATCGGGAAGATTTGGAACTGCACATCAGCGATGGAGTGCATGAAGGATGATTTCCGTGCGGATGAGCTCCTTGGTGGACGTTTCCGGACCATTGCTCCTCTCAATCATGGCTCATTCGGAATGGTCTTCCTCGCCGAGGACACTCTGACTCAACAGCACGTGGCCATCAAATGCCTCACCAAGCCTTCTGCCGTATCTCAGCCTACAACTCTAAATACGGATGAAGGTGCTGAGGAACTTGCTTGCCATGCCATATTGAAGCATCACGACCACTTGGTGAATCTTGTACATCACTTTGAGACAGACGCTCATACCTTCCTGGCCTTGGAATACTGCTCTCAGGGAGATCTCTACGAAGCCATCCGCATGGACCGTGGACCTTTACAGACCGAACATGTCCGGCGTTTCATGTTGCAACTCATCAGTGCTGTACAACACATGCACGCCAATGGTCTGTACCACCGAGATATCAAGCCTGAGAATATCTTCCTGACGCAGGATGGTTCTGTCAAGCTCGGAGACTTCGGCTTGGCTACCAGGAGCCTCTGGTGTTACGAGCCCTGCGTCGGAAGTGACCGGTATATGGCTCCCGAACAATACGATCCTGCTGGCACGGGTTATTCTCCAGCGAAGGCCGATGTTTGGTCCATTGGCATCTGCTTGCTCAATGTTCTCTTCGCAAGGAACCCCTTTGTCACGCCAACGGAAGATGATGTTCTATTTGCCGACTATCGGCGCGATCGCCAATCCTTGTTCGACATCTTCCCAAACATGTCGCAGGATACGTTCGAGATTCTCTCGGTGGCCATGGCCATGGACCCTGCCAAGCGCGACTTAGCCGCGGTGAAACAAGCCGTTCTCCGAGCGGTTGCTTTTACTACAGAAGACGAATCCTTCGATGACCTCTTCTGCTCTGAAGAACGCGATGTCGTACGGGCAAGTGCCAACCGTGAGCCTTTGCGGACCCCGTCGATCCAAAGTCCTCAGCTCGATGGCGAGTCGTTCCCGTGGGCCAAGGCTCTGCATGCCAGTCCTGCTCACAAGCAGCAGCTGGCGAGCATCACGGACGTGTACGAGGAGGATCTCTTTGATTCTGACAAGAGCCTGAAGCTTGGCGAATCCTGGTACTCTGGTTCTGGCAACACACCGTCGTTGGCGTCTGTTTTCGACTCGGCTTATGGTTCGTTTATGTCGATGGCGATCAAGCGGCCTGCTGGCCGTGATCCACCTCAACCAGATCCGCTGCCCATCCCCAATTCGCTGCCTGCCCGTCCATCTCGACCTATTCCCGCCATGTCTTCCGTCTTCGGAAAGAAGGGTGACGACGCAGTGGCCAAGAGCTGGAGCGATATGTTTGAGGAAGATGAGGAAGAGTCAGAACGTGAGGCCGAGATGAAGTTTCGACGTGAGCACAACTCGCGAAGCTGGAGTCAAGATAGTCGCAAGGCTCTCCCGGTACCGCCTGGGGTGCTTGCCGAATCCAAGAGCCGTTCGTCCAGTAATGCTCGTCGTAGCCGCACGCCAAAGCCAACGTCGCCAGTGAAGGCCAGCTTCGGAGTCAACGAGAACGACCCCTTTGGATGGCGGATGCGGACCCCACGACATTCACCAAAGCAGATTCCCGCCGACAAGTGGGCTGCTCTGGGCAATAAGAGACGGAACTACCAAACCGAGCCGGAAATTCAGACCAAGAAACGAGCTATGACAACAGGATCTCGCAAGAGACCAACACCCGGGTTTGGACATGAGCATCACCACAATCCAAGCCGTCGACGGGACAGCCGAAACAAGGTTCGTCCTGCGTACTTGGAAAAAGATTGGCGTCAGCAACGCGTGATCGACTCATCCGCGGATGAGGACGATCTTGAGTGGGTTGGAGGTTGGCACAACTTCCATTTGTAATTCTTTGAGCATCACCTTCTTGTCAGCTTATTCGAACTTTCTGCGTGAACCAGGCGAGCTACAACCCCAGGGGAAGAATCTTGTGTTTTTGTTGGATGGTCAGGGGGACGACCAGAAAAAATACTCCACACCACCCTCGCTTTTGTCTCGATTGGAACCTTGACACTGATGACTTTGCAAACATGGGCTTGTTTTATTAACGAGGTGTCACGGACTGTACCAACAACATTCAAACTCCAAACATATCCCGGACATTGGCATTGGGGCTTGCGGCGGCGAGTATGGTTTCGAAGTTAGCATGATTCGACAGAGAAAGCATTATAGGATACGGAGGCGGCGACAAGCTGTTAGGCGGGGAAACGGTTCACCATTGAAAGATCGGGAGAGGCTCATCAAGGTGTTTGAAACAGGCGTGTGCTCTCTTGAATTACATCAATTCTCCCGGACGAGGACTTGACTTTGTTGGCTTGAAGAAAGCTGGGCGTGCTGGTGCCAGCGAGAGTAGCTAGATTGATACTTGTGGCCAGAAGTGGCATGTCTTCGACAATGGAGAATTTCAACCCTCTCAAATCAAGCTCATTCGGATTTCTCTTGCAGTCGTTGTGTTTGTGAACTCGGCCAAAGTTGTTGCCGTTTCGGCCATGATCCGTCCCGATGCTGAATCCTCATACCTACCTAGCCCGTCCATGAGGACCCTCGGTACCTCGCTATCCCAGCCATGGGCGTCCTCCCACTAACCCTGATCGGGACCTCACCCCTGGATAACAGATAATCTAGTTACGGCCAGGGTCGGTCGCCAGGCCGAGGCAAACCCTCACCAACCCCGACTCCAAATTCCCCAGATCAAGCATCAGCCGAAGCTACCTATATTTCTCCACATCATTCTCACCTCGTTGTTCCCTTCTTTGCAGCCGAGGACATTGCAACTTTGGGTTGAAGAGGGCTTTTTGTCGTAGATAGCCGGGCTGTTTGTTCTGTGGCTGTATATTTCCTCAACCCTCCCTCCCCCTCGATAGCACCTCTGCGACCGTCACGTTCACCTCCCTTCATCATGGCGACCCCCGCAACGCAAAACATCCCGCCTATTGCCCAGCCGTTTGTGTCGCAGCGGGCAAAGGATCTTCTGGACAAGGTACGTACCTGGTATTCTTGCACGGTTGGTTTTTTGAGCCCGCCGATGAAACCCAACGTCTCCTGCACCCACGCATCCACACTAGTCGTTCACCACGCCCTCACTGACCACTCACCTACCCACTTGTTGACTTTCCCAGGTCTACACCTTCGTGGACGAAGAATGCATCCCCGCCGATGTCGTCTACTCGTCACAGATCGGCACGGGCGACGCGCGCTGGCACGGCCACCCGTCCATCCTGGAGGAGCTCAAGAAAAAGGCGCACGCCCTGGGCATCTGGAACATGTTCCTGCCCAAGAACCACTTCAAGGACGGCCCGCAGTTCACAAACGTCGAGTACGGCCTGATGGCCGAACAGTTGGGCAAGAGCATCACCGCTAGTGAGGTACGTACCGGGTAGTGCCCCACGACGTCTGTGCCGCGGCAGGGAGCGCTTGTCGGTGTAGGACCCCTCATTGACGGTCTTGTTCCTAGGCATGCAACTGCGCGGCCCCCGACACGGGCAACATGGAAGTGATTGCCCGGTACGGCACGGCGGCGCAAAAGGACCGGTGGCTCAAGCCCCTCCTGGCGGGCCAGATCCGGTCGGGCTTCCTGATGACGGAGCCGGACATTGCGTCGTCGGACGGGTCGAACATCCAGCTCCGCATGGAGCGGCGCGGCGACCACTACGTGCTCAACGGGTCGAAATGGTGGTCGTCCGGCGCGGGCGACGACCGGTGCAAGATCTTCATCGTCATGGGCAAGACCGACCCGCAGAACCCGGACAAGTACAAGCAGCAGTCCATGATGCTGGTGCCCGCGGACACCCCCGGCATCCAAGTCCACCGCATGCTCAGCGTATACGGGTACGACGACGCGCCGCACGGCCACGGACACATCACGTTCAAGGACGTGCGCGTGCCGCTCGACGCCATCATCCTCGGCGAGGGCCGCGGCTTCGAGATCATGCAGGGCCGCCTGGGCCCGGGGCGGATCCACCACGCCATGCGCGCCATCGGCGCCGCCGAGCGGGCGCTCGAGTGGATGATCAACCGGCTCAACGACACGCGCAAGGTGCCCTTTGGCAAGCCCTTGTCCGAGCACGGCGTGCTGCTCGAGTGGGTGGCGAAAGCGCGGATCGAGATTGACGCGTCGCGCCTCATCGTGCTCAACGCCGCGATCAAAATCGACCAGAAGGACGCCAAGTTTGCCCTCCGCGAGATCGCAGAGGCCAAAGTCAAGGTGCCGCAGGTGGCGCTCGAGGTCATCGACCGTGCCATCCAGGCTCATGGAGCAATGGGGGTGTGCCAGGACACGCCGCTCGCGAGCATGTGGGCTCATTTGAGGACGTTGAGGATCGCGGACGGACCTGATGAGGGTGAGTACGCCATATCTAGCACGAAGTCCCGTTTCCTTGCATGCCTCGTACTGCTTACCCATGCGGATGTATGTTTTACTGCCTCGTACTCGTACTCCCATGCGCTTGTGTCATGTGATACGCGTGTGATATACACGACACGTGCTATTGTCATCGGCCCAGTCTTTACCATAACTGACATGCTACGCACAGCGCATCTCCACCAACTCGGCCGCCGCGAGAACAAGCAGCGCAAAGACGAGATCAAGGCCCGCATCGCCCGCCAACTGGCCAAGACGGAGCAAATCTTCCGCGACATGGGCATCGAGAAGCAAGAGCTCGGCGCCGCAAAGTTCAAGCCGAAGGCAAAGTTGTAGACAGCAGACGCAGCGTAGGGGTCCGGTCCGTGTCAGGGGGGGACGTGTGTCGAATGCGAATGTGAAGGCCAAGACCATGGCACGCATGTCCTGTGTGTGCGGCGTGCGTGCGGCGTGCATCTTGTATTTGTGCTTGCCTGCTTACTTTGGATCGACGATCGCGAAACATTCGGTGCTGCCTGCCGCCTCCCGGGATCATTCTGGACGGCCAGGGCGGCGGGGCTGCCAAAGTCAGTCACCGATTCATGAAAGGAAGGGATGGAGAGTGAAAAAACAAAAGACTGGTCAACCGATCCACGGGAAGGAAAAGGGAGTGCTCGTCCGTAGGTAGGCAACAAAGTGACGGCGGTAGATACAGTACGGACTTTTCTAAGGTTTTGCCCGTCCAATGTGCCGCCAGGCTACAGACCTTCGGACTGCGATGAGCGCGCCGCAAAAGCGAATGAAATCATCGACCATACCCGGTAGTCTTGTGGTCCTCAGAAGTTGTCTCCTGTAGCACTCCAAATACCCACGAGACAATTCCCTACATAGGTAAACTCCAAGTGTCACCGCCATCTGTTTTGGAAGGCGAAGGGAAACGACATATTTCGAATGATTTGAATGGTTTACTACTAAGACCCGCCTATCATGCGCACATACAACGTTCTACTAGACAGACTACCTGGGTACCTGCGTTAGACTGGGCCGGGCGCGCGCAAACCGGGTGGGTCATTGAGCTTTGTTTGTCATGTGGCCCTGGATATTTAGATACCTCCTACATAAAGTACTCTGTGTAACCCCCTAGATAATTGCCTATATGGGCAAAATTCAAGGCCATCGTCATCTCTATAGAACAAAGACTCCAGGAGACATGTTCCGTATATATCTAGGTTTTTCGGTGGTTACCCAAGCTCCACCCATCTATCACACGCACATATGGCCTACCAACACCGGGACCTTGACCTTGGACGGCGTAAAGATGTGAATGGGATCAATCTCGTGGCGGTCACGACACACAAAGACTTGCATGCAACAACAGTTTAAAATCGCCTTGCGAGCACAAGCACACCATTTATCATTGTCTTCTCCGTGATGGAGCAGCTTAGAATACCTTGTGAAAGGATTATCCACCTAAGCTCTCGTTCCTATGGTTCCCGTCCAACGACTGCCGCGCCAACCAAGAGATATTGTGGTTGAGAAATGCCCGAATCAATCACTATCATCAATGACGAACGCGTCGTCCACACTCGCGCCCGGGGCACTGCTGGCCGCTCGACTGACTTGGGGGTTCGAAGCCGGTGTGGCTGCATCCTCGTCCTCGTATTCATCCCCATCCTGACCACTTTCACCCTGTAAATACCGTACAGGATACTGGTACTCGTAGCCCTCGTGGTCTTCCTCGTCCAATTCTCCCTCGTCATCCTCATCCTCGTAGCCTTCTTCTTCTTCGAGGTAGGACTCCTCGTTTTCGTCCTCGTCCTCTTCGTCTAGCTCCTCTTCGTCCTCATCGTCAGCGTGGTTGCCATTTTGCTCGAAGTAGGCAGGGTGAGATCCAGGGGCAGATTGTCCAGAGTGTTCTTCTTCCTCATCGTTAGACTCTGCCGTATCAGCGTCGTTCCCATACAGGTCTTCTTCTCCTTCTCCCTGATCCGGACCGACGGACTGCAACAACTGATATGGGTTTCCGTTTCCGCCACTTTTTCGAGCCGTCGACCTTGGCTTCTCAGGTGAGTCGGCCACCTGCGTATGATTCGATGCAGCGCGAGGACGCTTCAAAGCGTGGAGGGCAGCCTTGTGGGCGTTCGAAATCTCATCCGAGGGTTCCACATCGTTGTGCGATCGTTTCCTGCCAGGACTGGAATGTGATTGTGATCCGCCACTGTAACTGAGTGCACTTTTCTTGGACATGGCCACGGCCACGTAGTCCGGCGTCGAGCGTGGAGGTTTAGTGGCCAGGCCGTGAGCACCAGTCTGGCGGATGCGTAATTCAGTCCTGGAAAGTGGAAAGCCAGGTTTTGTATTCGCTGGAAGGTATTCGTATCCCATGGCTTTAGCCAGACCGCTTGACGAGACAGGACTGCTAGCACCATTCAGACTGCTCTGGCTTTTCCTGAACTCGTCTTCTTGGGCGATCTCTTGCTCCAAAGTGACGGCTTGCTGCTTGAACCATTCGGTCTGCTCGGCCATTGCCCCTCGTGCCTCTCGGATCTGCTTGAGGAAGTCGTCCTCAATAGGGGTAGGAGCAGGAGTAGGTGTCCTTCGTGGTGTCTGTTGAGTCTCGGGTGTTTGAGCACGTGGCAGCGGGGGAGGTGGCATCGCGGCCGGTGGACTCTGATCCGAGATTGAGGTTCGGAGGCGACGATTGGCTCTGTTAATGCTTGCTTGTCTTTCTTCGGCCTCTCGCCGTCGACGGAAAGCCAGCGTCTCTTTCGTGTCCGGTACGATTGGCGTATCCGGATCGAGACCCATAGCCTTGAGCCTGAAATAGTCCGTGCGCGTGACATCCAGCTTCTGAGATGACGCTGATTTGCGCAAATCTGAGTTGCTGGTCGATCGTCCCAGAGTCGAGGCACGAGAGAAGATCGAGACGTGTTGAGGTGGCCTTGAGGTGGACGAACGGAAGCTGGCACCAAATGGCGCACCACTCCCTGCTGGACTTGAATGCCTCGAGGTACTCATCGTCTTCGACCTCTTGTGACCGGAGACTGAGGTCGCTCTGTTGGACGATGATATGGTGCTGGCTCCCAAGTCTTGACCAGAGAAGCTCTTACGCTTTTGTCCAGCAAGCTTGACCACTGAGTTACCATTTGGCATCGTAGAAGGTTCCTTTTGCATTTTGACAACCTCTTCGACTTCCTTTTGAAGCCGTCTGGACTCTTGAGCTGCCTTCAGTATCTCCTCCAGCTCTTCATCACTTCTCTGCGTTCTTGCTTGCTCAGCTCTGATTGTCTCTGCAAAGAGTTGGCGTCTGTTCTTCGCACGTCGATTGAGGCTGTTGTTCCAAGCTCGTTGTCTCCAGAGGACGCCAAATTTTCGCGCAAGGATGCGTCCACGGACAGATGCTAGGTTGCGCGATTAGGGTTGAGTCTTAGCGAAGGGAACATTGACTTACCAATGGCTGCATCACGTAGCTCCTGTTGGTGTTGCTTGAAGGCAGTCGTCAACAATTCCCGCAGGGCGAATTCGAGGAAACTGTGAAGGAGGCCGTTCGGCTGAGTGAATCCAATACGTGCCACGTTCGCAGCGAGTCGCTGCCGATCTGCTTGGGTGAAGACAGACTGGGCAGGGGTTTGGCGTGGAGAATGTGGAGGAGTTGTGCTGCGCTGAGGTTGACGTGAGGCAGGGGTCGGTGTCAAAGTCGGCTTCTGAGAATGCTGTTGTGGAGAAGCGGTGTCAAGGGAGGGCTGACTATCCTTTTTCGAATCGAAGAATGGTTTGAAAGGAGTTTTGACAAATCCAGTGGAAGTGGTGGGTGGTTCTTGTGATGGTTTAGTGAAGGATGGTAATGAGGGGGCTGCACCTAAAGTCGGCTGAGTTGGTTGTGATTGAGATGTGAGCCAGGCTGGTGGGGTGAACGCGGACGTCCCTGGTTTGTTTTCTGATATTTGACTCGGAGGGTTGGATGCGGCAGGCGATTGAAAGCTGGCAAAGGGAAATGGGTTTGTCGTTGTCTTGTCTGTTATGAAGAGAGGTATCAGTGGCTATTTTCAAACGCAGGACGCCGTAAGCACATTGAGAGGAGTATGAACAGAACATACCTTCCCGTTTTGCAGGCACAGGAGAGATTGACCCCTGTGACGCGGGTTGCTGCCCGAAGAGGGGTTGAAAAGTACTCCCTGATGATAAGCTGGGAGGCGCGGTTGTCGTTGATCCCAAGTTTGTCCCGAAAGCGGCCGTGGCAGGTTGCTTAGGCTGGGATGCAGAAGCAGACTGCCCAAAATTCCAACCGGAGTGAGCTGTGGACGACGCAAAGCCTCCAGCGGCTAATTCCGTAGAGACGGGGGCTGCAGGTGTAGCAAAAACACCAGGCGTCGAGGTCGCTGGTTGCGGCTGGGGATCTGTTGAGGTTGCCGACTGTGGCTGTAGGGTTGTCGAATTTCCAAACGGTGTCGTTAGTCTGGACGGAGAGTTTGCAGCACTGGAGCCGAAAGCGCCAGAATCAGCTGGCTTGCCAAAGGTTGACGGGAACCCGGATGGAGTAGTTGTGGAAGAAAACCCAAAGCCGCCGGCATCGGAGGGCTTCCCAAACGTCGACGCCGTGGTACCCTGCTCTGAATGAGTATTGCTTGTACTCCCAAAGCCTGTAGATGCTGTCGACGTGCCAAAGGGTGACTCCGTTGCTGGCTTTCCAAAGACCGATGAGGTCGGAGTGTTCCCAAATGCTGGTGTGAAGACTGAGGCTGTTGGATCGAGTGAGGAGCCAGACTTTAACGAGTTGGCGGGGGAAGGAGCCGGCTGGTCCTCGGCGACGAACATGCTCTCAGCGTCGTCTTCAGGGTCGTATTCGGCTCGTCCGTGCTCTCCTTCGTCGGGTTCAATCGCGCCCGAGCGAATCGCGTCCGCGACGGTCACACCATTGACCACGGCGGTAAAGGTCCGGCGGTATCTCTTCTTTTCGACGAATTTGTGGGAGAAGACTTGCTGTCCGGGTGTCGATGACTCTACGCAGATATCAGAACTTGTTCTCGAAAAGTGGCGTGGACATGGGTATACGCACTGTCCAAAGACATAGCAGAGTTCGCCCGGAGGTCCAGGTATCCCCCTCCATTCTCGTCCGTGGCAAATGACAGTTCAAAAGCCTCGCAGAATTCCCTGGTCTGATCTTCAGAATCGAATCCCAGGAAGTCCGTCACATCGTGGAGGCTCCACTCCCTGGATCGTGCTTGTTGACCCAGAGGTGACTGCTTGAGTGATCGCCACAGAGCATCCAAAGCTGCAAATCGGACCTCGGCGAAATACATCTCAGCAAGACACGCCATGATATACGGAACCGATCTCGAGGCAAGTACATTCCAAAAGCTCCCTCCATTGCCCTGCGCGATGGCGGCAGTCGCCAGGGGTTGCAGAGGTCCAAGAGGCAGCGTAGTGTTTCCTGCAGCGGCATAGAGCTTCAGCGCCGTCTTTACTCTAGGGTCGTTGAGAACGCTGGCCGGCCACGACTGCATGCGGTCTTCCAAGTTCGGCGTCTGAGATACGATCTCAAAGATGACGAGGTACGCCCTAAACTCTGCTTCGTTGGGGAAATGGACACGGTCTCGATGGTCATCGTAGTAGTACATTAGGGATAGCAGCGTATTGTTGAGCTGTTCTCTTTCTTGAAAGGCGTCGAAGTGCTCTCCTTCCAGGAGGTTGTCGGGATTCGACAGCTGGTGCAGGGAGAGAACATGAAAACGGGCGATACGCTCGTAGCACTCCACGGCAAGCTTAACGTCCGCAGCATTGGTGACCTGTTGGATGGAGAAGTCGTTCCGGATTCCTCGAGTTCGATCCCAAACAAACTTTTGTACCGTGGCGAGTCGTTCGGCACCACCAATCACCTTGTCAAAGAGGTAGTCCAGCGTGCGCTTGAGAGTCTCCGGCGTCCGGATATCTGAGGGCAACTGCTCATCGTAGCCCGCAGCAGAGCGACGAAACCGTTTGACCATGCGATCTTCCGCCGGCCAGTCTTTCCCGTCTTCATCATCGCGCTCCTACACATGGCTTTAGCAATTTGCCTGCCATCAAGATATTGGTCTCGTTACCTTCTCCGCCCTGTCGACCATGTTCTGGACAATGCGCTCCACCCTTTCGAATCGTGGACACATATCCGTGCAAGTGCCGACCGGGGTGATGGCTTTATCCAGGCTTGTTTTCTTCTCCGGATCTGCCAAAAATCCATCACGAATGGCTTTTGCACGTTCCTCTTCACGGCTTTGTTTGAGCTATAATGGTTATTCGCACGTCAGAGAACCTATTGTGTAGTCGTAATCAGCCAGACACGGACGGGGTAGAGACGCACCGTCTGGAATTCGGCATATTTGGTGTTCATGAGGTTCCGGTCTCTCGCGGGCGCGGGAGATCCCCTTCGGGACCCAGATGTCGAGGTTTGCGAATTTGGGGTACTGAACGTCTTCGAATTGTTTGCGAATCCACGACCACGCCCTCGCTGACTGGGTGTCGAAGGTGTTGTTGCCCTGCTGGCTCCGCGCCCTAGCTCGAATCAGTCCCTACTTTCGCCCTTCATTCTCCACCTCAGAGGCACACTCACCTCTTCCTCGCCCTGTTGTCTCAGTGTCCGCTCCTCTCTTGAGATCGTTTCGGATCCGTTGCAAAAGACCTTCACTAGTGGGGGTTGCGCCCCTCCCATTCCCATTTGCGCGAGCCGTCGCGGCGCCTCTGCCTCTTCCTCGGGGGTTGGTGCTCTCTCGAGCATTACCGCGACCTCGAGCAGTCGAGCTTGACGTCCCTCGTCCTCCCCTGGTAGAGCTGCCACCGCGTTGGCCGCGGGTGGCCTGCGGCGTCGACATTTGCGCAATTTGTGTCGATCAACATCGGGGAGTTGGCATGCTCGAGCAAGCAAGGGGATCGGTCGAAGGGGGGATGAGGAGGCGATGGGCGGAAGTGACGAGTAATGAGTCGAGAATGATTCACTGTTAGTTGACACAGGAGTGAAAGATGGTGGGTGACTTGCGAATGTCGCGTTCCAATGAAGGAATTCACAAAGCAAGCCGCGCCCGCGCAGGCAGCTCGGCACCGACAGGCGCCTGGCACAGAAGCCCGGCACCATTGGCTGGGCTCGCCAGGCGGGAGCCCCATCTCCACGCGGATAGCATTCTAGGCCAGCGAACTCAATATCAACAACACTACACGGGTCTTCCTCGAGTTCTAGGCGTCTCCTTGCCTTCAATCCATTGCGTCTGACATGCTAAGTGTGTCCAGTATCTGATGGAATCTACACCGTCCCGAAAATGTCTCACTACGTGCTCACAATCGTCATGAGACTCCACCACAGGCAGTAACTTCGCTCAACCCAACATCAGGGCAGAATCCAAAAATGCAAAAATCGCTTGCGAGAGTTCAAACCACTCAGATGCCGAAAATCGAACTAGTGACCGTCCCTTGCCTTGTTGCAACAACGTGCACCAGCATCCAAGCTTGCTGCCTTTTTGCAGCTGAATTCATTAACGCACCAAAACTTTTCCTTTTGACTGGATCAAAGTGGGATGGACGCTGTGCAATCCCGTCGAACACGCAGACACAGAGACTCAATGTCCAAGATGCTTCGTAGCAACAAATTTTCAGGCGTAGGCGGAGAAGTATCCAATAACAAAGGAGATTCGTGCGCAGCTTGTCGGCCATATCGACTGTTACTATCCTGAACGGAGCGGATATGGAGTATTGGAGGCCGTAGTGGCCAATATTGGGCCAGATCAACCTTGCTGAGACGTATGGGCCGGTATGGGGTGGCGACAGAGCCCAGGAAGTGCTGGCAAAAGACCATGTCTGGCTCTTTTGCTGGGTGCACGCCCTCGATCGTGGGGCATGAACCTCCCAAGCCGCTCAAAGTCGCAAAATCAATAGAAATGACCGCCCATCATGCCCATGTTCACACCTTGGGTCGGCATCATCGTCGAGTGCTGTGGGTCTGCTGCACGGAAGGGCAAAGCACGACGTGTGTCGTCGACATAGTCATTATATTGTACCGGGGTGAGCATGGCTGGGTGCATTCCACTTTGCAAATCTCGAGGAGCGTCGGGCCTCTCTGGACCGAAATATGGATGACTCCTCATGTTGGCTGTGGTCATTATTTGTGGAATGCCGAAGATCTCTGCTGGCGCATCCGGCCCCATGTCTGGTGGTGGTATCTCTGGCCAATCCGACAGGTGCAAATTTGCAACCGGATGTCCGCCATGTCCAGTCATATGCATCAGTTCTGAGGTGCCAGCGTGATTTTCCATACGCCCATACGTGAGCGACGGCAATCGTGGAGTCATTCCCACAAGGGATAACATTGCAGCATCCCCATGCGGCATTGAAGTCTCCATACTCATCGACAGCTCCGGGCAATAACTTGCCCCTGTGCGCATCGGAATGGATGGTGGTGCTTGTCCTCCGGTGAAGCCCGGCCGTGATCGACGTGCGGCCATACGACGTCCGGGGAAAGACACGAGGTCGGCTGCGCTGCGTAACCTGCTGATCGGCACAGGCCCATCAAAGGCGGCATGATCAGTGGGAGATGTTTGCGTTGAAGTATCCGGGGTTGGCTCTCGGTTCTCAGCTGCTGCATCGGAACCCTCGCTGGATATCCCGGGTGCGTTACCGTCGCAGTCGAGTTCGTCATCGTCGGAGTTCATCGCCCCCAGTTTTGAGGCGGCAGTGTTGCTGAAATCAGCGAGGAAGATGAGCGTGTCGCCATCTGCCCATGTTAGTTCTGCGACGATGCTCGACTACCGGCTCAAGAAGACTGACCTATCTCACCAGCAGCATACTGCTCTTGCATCTGTCGGGTTCGAATGATTTGCTCGATCGTATCCCAACGTTCATTGGTCAGCTCGCGCTCGCCTTTCTTCGGCTCAAGGCACTCCAACAAATCCTGGGCGTAAACGAACTGCTGGTGCACAGGATCGGACGGTGGATTCGTCACAACTGGTTGAGGAGTGTTCATGATCAGATGCACCAGTAGCTGTGTCCTTTCTGCACTTGGTCAGCATGTGCGTCCGGCTGGTGAGGGTTTGCGGTGGCGTACCATCTTTGCCGATGTGATCGGGTTCTCGGTGTCGGACGTCTGGGACAGCGGTCATGTTAGTCCACCACACCACAGCTAAGAGACAGGTGCCAGGACAGATAACATACCGATGGGCCAGTAAGGAGGCCTCGTCCGATCTGAATCAGGGGTCGTATTCCGGGGCATTTGGCCATTATATGGATGGGTCGATTGCTTTGCCTCGTCAGTCCAAAGTCCCGCGCATTCCATCGGCGGCAGCGACCTACCTTCTTTGGGTGGATTTTCTTGATCCAAATCTTGGCCACCAGGCGACATGATACCTGTTGCAACCCCAAAAAGGCATCCCTGTACCATTCGGCAAGCGCCTTATCATCGTCGACGCGTATCTGCGACGCAGATGACTCGACTACTCTGATTCCGCCACCACCATGTCGAGCCTTGGCATAAGACGGATCTCGCATGGCGCTCTTTCTGGACCTGTGGCGCTTCAGAGGACGTTGGACCGAGAGAGATATTGAGCCACCCGGTGCACACGCCTCTGCGGTGGTTTCTACTTTGAAGACTTTGCCACATCGTCGGGAGGAATCACAAGAGTTGCCTGTCGAGGTCAGTCACTGTGCCGATAGATTCCGTGTATCACGTACTCTTGTCACCGGGGTTGCGCATGGACAAAATTTGGGTGAAGGTCTCTTGGGCGTCTCGGATGATGGTCCATTTGTCCTTCTTCAGATTTGGAGAGACGACAATCTCAGGCACGCCTCGCGGGCCCGGCACAAGTCCAATGAAATCTTCGCAGTCTGCGACAAGTTTCTTGATTTCATTCTTCAAGCAGATGTTAGCCAACCTTACAACCTTGTTTGTCGCCTCGGCCCATCAGCTCACAATCAAATGCTGTTGCCTCTCTTCCCTTGACAGGGTAGGAACAGCGATAGTAGCTTCGACTTTTATGTCTTCCTGTCCGTCTGCTGAGGCAAGGCCAGTCTGCGGTAAACCCATTTCCAAGGTCATGGTGGTCGGCCCAACCTGGTTGACATTCCACGTCGGACCTGCGACGGCGGAGAGTAGTGTGGCCGGGTCGACTTCTATGTATGCAAGTGGTCGAGGCGTTGAAAGAATAAGTGGGGGGACGGGCCCGAAAGAGCTATCCAAGGAGAGTTTGAGTCTAGGACAGGACCACAGTTAGCAGACTTGGTCCGAGCCGGAAGGATAGAGCGCGCCAGTGCCACCACTAGCCCATTCCCAAGGGAAAGCGACGAAGCGTGACGGCGGCGTCGACAAGCGGAGGGGCACATCGCAGGCCACCAGCTTATGGGCTGCAGCGTTTAGCGGTGAGCCTTGTGGGGAAATGGAGAAAAGGAGCTGGTGGAGCGCAGGCCGTTGGAGCGATCAGCAAGGGGGCACGCCCAGCGGACCACACATGTGCTTTCCCAACGGCTGCACCCCTGCGGCCAGAAGCCTCCCGAGCCTGTTTAGCTTTCGCTGTTCGGCCTACTGTGGAGCGAGATGCCCCAGCCGCGCCGGGGAAAGCGCTATTGTAGGCTAAGCTGTTACTTGTCAAGCTCTCCACTCGCGCCGCCCAAGTGCTGTACATATCTCTCGCCGTCAACGCGTCAAAGAAAACGACATGCCCAAAAAGCAGTGTATCCGGCGCCCGACAGAGCCTCCGGCGAAATGACATCATGACTGACCTTTCTGAGCTGGTCGTGAAGGGGTATCTTGAGGTGATGGTGCCAGAGCACCTGTAGCTGTTGTGTGCAAATAACTGTAACGGCGTGATCGAGGTTGCTGCGAATGCGTTGCTGGTTACGCGGATGATGGCCAGGACAGCCTGCCGGAGAACAAGACGAAACCCCCAAAATACTGATCAAAAACAAAGACAAAGCCGGCCAGGTGAGATGGAGAAGAGGACGCGCAGCTCTAGGTGGCCACCATGGCAGTACTTTCTTGCCGACAACGTGGGAGCTCGGGGCGTCAACGCAGAGGTCGAAAGAAGATTGTTGAGGGAGAAATTAACTTTAGGAACCAGGGGCAGTGGAGGAGTGGCGGAGTTTAAGCAATGTACGTTGTAGTGACCGTGACGATGTTTGCTTTAGCTTTGCTTTCGCATGTCTGGCTGACGGCAGCGTTTTAGGCGAATGGACGGACAGGGTACAAGAGAACGGGTCTAGGAAGGAGGAGAGAACTGGATCTCTCACGCCGTCGAGACGGAGATGTATATGCAATTGTCAATTGGACGAGGGCATTCACGCAGCCAATGAGCAGAGAAGGTCGCAGACGATTGGGGAGCCGGCTAGAAATCACATTGTGGAGTAGATCATGGAGCAGAGATCGGAGAGGGGGGCGGGAAGCATGGCTTACAGACAGACTGACTCGAGGGCTGGTGGGAATCGAGACTGAGAGTGGCAGCTGCTGTCACAGAATGGGCACGAACGCTGAAAGGGAACTTGAGAGCGAAGAGAAGACTCGAGCCCCCGAGGCTGTGCTGCCTGATCAACTGCGGCATCTGGCAGGCCAGGTTTGTGTGGGTGTGTGGTGTCTTGCCCTGTCAAGTCGTCGGCCTGTCCCCCGTTGCACCGAACCGCCAGCAAGTGGCCGATGGTTGGCTCATGGACATGTTGCTCCTGGATGGAGGCAGTGACGCGGTTGTGGTGCCTGCTCAGTCTGCGTGGGTGGAAGGCAAGCCTTGTCTTTGTGCCGTTGCGGAATAGGAGGGGCGTGGCCCGAGAATGAGCCCGGTGGGAAAGTAATGATTGCCATCAAGCCATGCTATCGACTTCGACTCCGGCAGGCCCGAGGACAAGTTACGGACCGTTGCTAGGTCTTCAGGGGCAGCCTCTCACTTGTCAGCAGCCCTGTAAGCGTAGCGGCAAATCTTTATACGTGGTAGTTCGTGGTCCAGCGAGTTGGACAAGCGCCTGCCAATGGCAGTGGAGCAATTAAATACCGCAGCAGCCAGATTGGTGAGAGGGGAGGGGGTCCGGCAAGGTGAAGCGACTGTGCACCGGGGAAGCACGGCCGCACAGGACATTCTGCATCGTGGCAACGGACGCTCTCGAACCAGAATTGCATGATGCACGCTACCAGTATAGCCGCAGTAGAACAGTCGCAGAAGCAGCGAGGATGCCATCCAGACCCGATGCCGCCTGCGCTCCTGCGATGGCTGCGCTTGTGCTTGCTAGCCATGCCCCTGCTGATGCTTCCGAAATCCAAGCCATCTGAGATACACGAAATGCAACGGTAGGCTGGTTCGTCCTGGCTCTGTCATCTCAACGATTCCATCCTATCATGCAACGCCCTTCTGTTGCTTCCCGCCTGTGCCACTGAACCACCCTGCTCCACTCCATATCGATGAAATTCTCATGCTAGGCGGCAACCTCTGTCGTACTTCTGATTGCCGTGCCAATGAGCCTAAGCAAAGCAAACCGAAGAGGTGCCGCGGCTGGAGCCCACTACCCGCCCGTCGAGGTGCTACGAAAGCTTTGGCTAGCAAATCTCCCTTGCTTCCACTCATGGTCAACCGTCCCGTGGCTCGTCTGGCAGAGCAGTAACCAGCGCAGGTGAAGCAAACAACAAGTGGATCGCCAAAGCTGGAGTCTAAGATGCCGGCAGGTTCCCGTCTCTGAAACCTTGGCTGCCCGACCAGTTCTGACGAGAAACCGGACACAACACGGGAGAGCGTAGGTTGCAGGGCGAGAGACTGCGTGGCACAGCCGCACGCAGAAGGGTTAGTCTTCACTTGGTGTCTCGCTACATATCCAATACTCCAGATCTCTGCATTCTTGCGTCCTGGACTCCGCGCCTGCTCCTCGGTTCGCTGGTAGCTTTTCGTTGCGCCCTGGTGGTGGCTTCTAGTCTACGAAGCCGAAACAATGACACCCACAACACTGAAGCGTGAGGAGAACCTTGGTCATGTCATCCCGTGGCCTTTGCACATGGATTGCATCCGTCATCTGCACTCAACCATCTAGTCAGCATGGTCCAAGTCGGTTGATCCCAGTCTCAGCTCGAGACTTTCAGGGCGGTACGGAATGGGATTCAGGTTTAATTGGAACCCAGCCTCATCTAGATCGATGAGGCAGTCACGTAGTGACGGACCTTGACCGGAACTTCGCCCGCCACAGAGACGGATCTCCGGGGTTCGTGAACCGTGATTTGCTCCACACCAACCGCACACAGGGGGTCGACGAACGGCCAGGGTCTAATCGAACTGCCCAAGATGGCTGTTGCTGTTGGTACCACCGGCCACCACTGCGCCTCTTCTGGGAGTTCTGGCGCCTTTGGCGCACACCTACTTGTGGCAATAGGCATTTCGGGGGACAAGGGCTCCTTGAGCTTCGAAGCCGACCACGCAGAATGCAGCATAGGGGCGGCAGCAGCACCGTGCAACCAATGGCGAGTCTTCGATCGAGGTCTATCGCAGACCCAAGAACGTACAAAGTACATGCCAGATGCGCTAGGCCCAGGTCTCTTGACGAGCGCCATGGCCGGATAGGGTCCCGTCCTCTCAACATCTCCACCATAGGTGATGGCAGGAGCGTGAAGGGGGGCATGGGTGGCCCTCGTCCAACCGCCCCGATTATTGCTTGCATTGGTGGCTCCGCCTTCTCCGGTCCTGCCCATCCTTGTCATTGGCCGGGCTGATTTGTGGCTTTTCACGCCGGATTTGAGATTCCTAGTGCTGCAAAGAGGGTTGTGGGACCTGTGCAACTACGATCTGGTCAGAAACTCTATCACTCAGGTAACAGGTACAACGACCATAACACAGTCATGAGGCCCTTCAAGGTATCTCTACCAATCCCCCATACTCAGGGTACATGTGGGCACCATATCCCACCCTCCGCGGTTCCATGCAGCGTTAGTACGACGCTCCTCCCCCTTGCGGCAGCCTCCTTGTGCCACCCTTGGCCGTTTCGTACAACTCGGCAGAGATTTCGCGGCGGATTGGCCTAGCTGGGGCCAGCAGACGCAATCACCACAGCTGTTGCAATCGGTCCTGTGAAGTGGCCGAAAGAGGATAGCCCTGCTGAACGGTTACACAGCATATGCAGGACTAAACTCTGCAGAGCAGTCGCCCGT